TGCAAGGCAGGAAGGCCTTGCAGGGCAGAGATAACTGCAGCACCACAGGCTCTAAGTTCACAGAATATGGTGTAACTGATTCTGTGTCCACAATGCTCAGGAGATAAAGCCCCTTGATGCACTGTGTGGTCAGAACTGGTGGCACCCGCCCCATCCGCTGTGCTCCCATGCAGATGCACCTTGATAATATTCAGCGTCCTAGGTTCGCATTTCTTACAAGAACCACATTTGCTATTGAATGCTGCAGACCCACGCTCTCCCCCACCCCATCTTACCCCACAATAGCTTTTAGCTGACCCTTCTCACCTCCCCTCACCACGGCCCGCAAGATTAACAAGATAATGCACCTAATAAAAGCGTGTGGAGCCCAGGGCTCAGGGCTGACGGGGTCCCTACTCTCGTGCTGGTCCCCTGGACCCTACTGTGGAACTCTACCCTTGTCTTTTATCACCCCTCGTCACTGCCAGGGCTAAGGGCACCCACGTACAGGGTTGGGGCTGGCACCCAACAGTTACTCTTTTGTAATTGTGTTTACAGGTCCATGGAGACGAGTAAACAGACGAGCACTGAACACACATACAACCCATGTATTTCTGAGAAGAGTAAGGGATTTTAAAATTGCTTATCTAGGTAATGCAAATCCTTGATATGCTGGAGTCTCTGCTGATGAGAAAAAAGAAACTGCTGGTTGGGAAACCTGCACTGGTTACTGCAGAGATGTTCACCGTGAACAGAGTGGGGTTATTTAAAAAGAACCTAAAGCCGAAAGAGACAGTGCAAAAAGATACAAAGGCAATCACTAGAAAACAAGCTGGTTTTGGTAGCCTGGATTCAGGGAGAGATCCAGGGAGACATGAGTCCTGTGTGTGTCCTGGACCTGTTCATTGTGCCTGTAGAGATGAAAACCGTGAAGCCATTGGCCCAGGGCATGATCCTCAAGCACAAAACGCCAGGGAATGGCGACAATGCTGCCTGAGGCACACCGGTTGTGTCAGGATAAACAACAGTATCCCAAACACTTTGTTTTGATGTTACTTTGCTAGTCAAATACACAGAAATAAAAAGTATCAAAATTTGGAGCATCTACCACAGGCATATGTGCTCAGGGGCTTTCACGTTAAGCTCTGCCCACGGGGAGTTCCTGGTACTGATCAGGGTCACCTGGAAGACACTGAAGAGACAAGTGATGCCAGTAAACAGCCGTGCTCACTCCGCGAGCATGTCAGCATCTGAAATCAGCGAGGAAATGTTTCCATCCCAAATCCGTCACTGTCTGCAGAACTAGGAGTAAGGAGGTGCCTACAGTCAGGCGCTTGGTAATCAACTCTCTGAACTTAACCTGCACCCAGTGAAACACAGGAAGAGACAATGGGAAAGGGCCAGAAATTCCCCAGGACGCTGAGTGCCACCTGTGATAAGACTATTCCTAGTGTCAAGTCCTTGGCAGCTGTTCTGTCAGTTCCCACAGACTAACACTTACCCTCAGAGCCACAGGACCCTGCAGGAGAACATGAGACATGAGCTACATTTAAAATGTCAAACAAAATCCAATATTCTGCACCAACCATTGTTTCACCATTAGAAGTGTTACTTGATGTTTTTCAGTGATTAAAAGGTTTCCAATATGTAAATGTATGCCATTTAAAGTGTCCCTGCAATGTACTCATCACTTATGATGAGCACCCATGTGTTAACTTTCTATTCTCCACAGATCTATAAGGTAGGTGCTGCCATTATCATGATGAGAACTTAAACATCGAGAGGGTAAGTGATTTGTCTAAATTCAGACGTTGCATGGGAGCAGGGTGGGGACTTGATCCTGTCTGAAGCCAAGGAGTGCCTTTAAATGACATGCTCTATTATGATTTGTGAATCATCTGCTATTAGGTTTTCAGACGTGGGCACATCACATACTCTTCCCCTTTCTCACTGTAAAAATTATCTTATAACATTTTAGATTTCCACTTATGTAAAATTACAGGTTTCAGGTACTATCTCTACCTGGTAACAGACAGTGTAGACTATCTGTGTGGTTAAGGGAAAGTGTTAAGAAACCCAGCAACTCACAGTAAAAAAGACCACTTGAGCCTACAGTGAGTGCAACTAAATCATGCTGACGTTAGCATCCCTATTAATCCAGGAAAGGGAGGCAGAAATTAAATTATTCTTCTATAAGCAACCTTCCCTGAGTCCTTCCCCCTCCTGTGGAATGGCATCCTGCTTTACAAGTTTTATAAGTTTATAAATTCTCATTTTCCATAGCTGATAACTCTAAGTTTCTGTAACACAGCAAAGATCATGAGAAATGCCTAAACAGACCAGACTCCTGCCTTCTAGGCACTGTGGTGGAGGGGAACAGATGAGGCCCGTGTCAGAACCCTTGAGCTCTACAGATAAGCATCGGTGCTGCACAGCAAAAATCATATGTAAGCCCGAGTTATGTGCCTGTCACTGCTTAATAAGCTGTCTTTGTTCTGCAGATGCAAACTTGTTTTCCCGTCCCTGTGTACTTCATGTCTTTGTTCAGCACTCAGCCATTTTGGATTCAAATCCGAGCTGAGCTGGTGTGCACCTAAAATTAAATCCTTCTGCAAGCTCACTGATCTCTTCGGTCTCTTGAATTCTGCAACAATATGAAGGTCATTTTGTCTAAGTTCATCAAGCCTTGTGATCACAGGATTATATCTTTAGCATACTGGTAAGCAGCAATGCTAAGGAAAGCCCACCCTGGCTAGGAGTTTTGCATTGAGAGAGGTATTCTCCCATCCTTTGGGAGGGAATAATATAAAATGATTATTTCCCTTCTCTTTGCTCATCTGCGCCTAAACTGTGAGGAGCTATGGATACGCACCTCATTAGAAAAGTGCACATAACAGCAGCAAGAAAAAAAGTCCCATAGAAAACACAAGGATACCATGTTTCCTACACAACAGTCACTTGTCAGGCAACTGTGTGAGATTCCCAATTCTCTCCAGAATGGAAGTCTCCTTACACACACACACACACACCCCATGTCCTCACCCAAATCTCACCGACTTGTAATAATCCCCATATGTCAAGGGCAAGACCACCTGGAGGTAACTGAATCATGGGGGTGATTTCCCCCATGCAGTGCTCATGATAATGAGTCTCATGAGATCTGATGGTTTTATAAGCGTCTGGCATTTCCCCTGCTTGTACTTTGCCATCTTATGAAGGTACCTTGCTTTCCCTTCACCTTCTGCCAGAATTTTAAGTTTCCTGAGGCCTCCTCAGCCATGCTGAACTGTGAGTCAATTAAGCCTCTTTCCTTTATAAATTGCCCAGTCCCAAAAATTTCTTCATAGAGTGGGAATGAACTAATACACTGTATATATACAGAATAACACTATATAATATACAGCACTACAAATCAAACTAGGCTATACAAATTTCTTTCAACATAAATGCAAAAAGTCTCAAAAGATACAAAACTGAATTTACCAATATATAAAAAAACTTATATTTCATTACCAAAAGAGACTTAACCCCCCAAAAAAGCAATGTTGTTTTTGCATCTAAAAGTCAATTTGGCTGGGCACAGTGGCTCACATCTGTAATCCCAACACTTTGAGAGGCCAAGGCAGGAGAATCACTGGAGCCCAGGAGTTTGAGATCAGCCTGGGTGACAAAGTTAGACGCCATCTCTTATTTTAGAAAGACAGTTAGTGTAATATACCATGTTAACAGAACAAATTTCAAAACCACAAGATCATTCAAATAGATGCACAAAAGCCAAGAGACAAACTTCAACAACACTTGACAATAAAATATTCAATAAATATTGAACAGCAGAAAACTTTCTCAACCTGCTTTAAGGCATTTATTTTTAAAACCCTCAGCTAACATCACAAATGATGGGAAGACTGGATGCTTTCTTTCTCAGATTAGACACAAGACACTTTTCTATCACAGGTCTCTCTCCTTAAGCAAATGTGACCTGGGCAAATAGCCAAAAATAATGACATTGTAAAGAACAGATGAAAATAATTCACGAGAATATACTCTATAATAAACTTTACACACTTACAAATTGACAGCAACTCTTTATTAGCAAAGAAAATAAACTTTTTTTTACACCAAAAGAGAATAGTTTTTGTCAACTAAAATAACGGAACATATATATAATAGTGTTGAAAATATACAAATCCTGCCATATAAAGCCAGTAAAAAAATCCCAGCAATTAACAAAGACTCATTTATCAATGGCCAATTAACCAAACAACTACATAGAGGTTAAACTTACACATACATGTTAGAAATACTTTCACACACCTAGTATGTAACCCACAAATTTTTTTTAAATGGCTATGCAAGAAAAAAAGAATGAAAAAAGGAAAATAAAGAAAATGAACATGCCCAACACACTTTAAAATAGGTAGAAAAATAAAATTTACTAGCTTTAAAATAAAAATACATATTTAACTCTTGTACTATTGCTTGAAAAGTACTTACAGAAGTCTCACCTCTATGTTTGTTTGCAAAGTAAGTGAAAATCTACATTCTAGAGACGCTCTTTAAAAATGAGAATTGATAAATTCAGCTTATTTATAGCTCCTAAAACATCTCGTTCACGTAGTGAATTTTCTTGAGAATTGTACTATAATTAATTTGCATAAGGCTTTCCATATTACTTACATTTACAGAATTTATTTCCAGCAGGAGTTTTCACATGACTTTTTTTTTTTTTTTTTTGAGACGGAGTTTCGCTCTTATTACCCAGTCTGGAGTGCAATGGCACGATCTTGGCTCACCGCAACCTCCGCCTCCCAGGTTCAGGCAATTCTCCTGCCCCAGCCTCCTGAGTAGCTGGGATTACAGGCACGCACCACCATGCCCAGCTAATGTTTTTGTATTTTTAGTAGAGACGGGGTTTCACCATGTTGACCAGGATGGTCTCGATCTCTTGACCTCGTGATCCACCCGCCTCGGCCTCCCAAAGTGCTGGGATTACAGGCTTGAGCCACCACGCCCGGCATGACTTTTAAAGTAACTGTTAAAATTCACAATTTTATGTATTTCCCAAGCTACCAGGGTTTCAATCTGGTGGGCATTCTTTTATTTATAGGGTCAATCTGGAGTATGTGTTACCATAGGTCTTCGAGTGAGTTACAGGATAAATGCAGGCATTCCCACATTTGAGACATTCATAAAGTTCTTCTCTAGAATGATAGTTTTTCTCTAGAATGCAGGTGTTTTTATACCATCAAATGCCTGCAATACCACATTTTATACATTCATTAGGATTTCCTTCAGTGTGAATCCTTTCAAGTTTTTAGAAAGAAATGGAAAAATTAAAGGCTTTACCATACTGCTTATAGGGTCACAGGGTTTATCTCCAGTTTGATTCCTTTCATGTGTTTGAAGAAATCTGGGAAAGTTAAGTACTGTCCTATACCTTACATTCACAGAGTTTCTCTCAAGCATGTGATTGTTCATGTTTTTGACAAGAACTGTAATGACTGAAACCTTCATGTTTTTTTGCATTTATAGGGCTTTTCTCTAATATGAGTTTTTTTATGTTTCCAAAGGGTACTAGCACGACTAAAGGCTTTACCACATTTCTGACATTCATAGGGTTTCTCTCCAGTATGAGTTCTTTCATGGTTATGAAGGTAACTGGAACATCTGTAGACTTTCCCACAATTCTTACACACATAGGGTTTCTGTGCAGTATGAGTTTTTTCATGTTTCTGAAGGGAACTGGAATATCTGAAGGCTTTCCCACATTTCTTACATGCATACGGTTCTTCACCAGCATGAGCCTTTATATGTCCCTGCAAGGAACTGAGACAACTTAATGCTTTGCCACACTCCACACACACACATAAGGCTTCTCTCCAGTGTGGGTTCTTTCATGGTAGTGAAGGCCATTGGAATAGCGGAAGGCTTTCCCACACTGCTTACATTCATAGGGTCTCTCTCCAGTATGAGTTCTGTCATGGTCATGAAGGTGACTGGAACGACTGAAGGCTTTACCACATTTCTTACATTCATAGGGTTTTTCTCCAGTGTGAATCCTTTTATGTCTATTAAGAGAACGGGAAAATCCGAAGGCTTTCCCACATTCCGTACATTCATTGGGTTTCTCTCCAGTGTGATTTCTCTGATGTATTTGAAATAAACTGGGAATATTAAAAACTTTCTCACATATTTTACAGCTAGAAGGTCCATTTCCAATGTGCACTACTGTGTCTCTCTGAACCCTTGTGACAGAAAGGGATGTTTTCTGACACTGTTTATATGTACATGGCTTCTCTCTACATTCCTCACACCTATGTGGGTTGTTTCCAGAGTGAGATATGATGTGCCTATGAAGGGATGAATGACATGAAGAATTCTTCACACACATTGCATTCACATGGTTTTACTCCAGTAGAGAATTTTTCATTCAGATTAAAATCTGGCATCTGGCTGAAGGTTTTTCTACACTAATTTATTGAATTTTACACAGTATCTCTATCAAATGACTTCTACAGAAAATGACAAACCCATCATTAATGGTTTATTAATTATTTTCCTTTATTACTAAATCTGAACTGACATTGCTACCTATCAGAGAAAGTGCAAGTTTTCTACCATAAACAAACTGAACATAAATGGATTGATTAGTCTGCAACATGGCTCCCTCCCTTATAGCTATTAACAAAACAGTAATATTCTTATATGCAGTTTCTTATTACTGAATACAGTTTGGGTATCTACTCCCTTCAAATTTCATGCTGAAGGTTGATCCTAATGTTGGAGGTATGACCTAGTGTGAGGTCTTTGGGTCATGGGAGCAGATTCCACATAAGTGGCACTGTTGCGGTCATAGTGACTTCTTACTCTATTAGTTCCTAAAAGATCAGATTGTTTTTTAAAAAAAATGGCCGGCACAGTGGCTCATACCCGTAATCCCAGCACCTTGGGAGGCTGAGGTGGGTGGATCACTTCAGGTCAGGAGTTTGAGACCAGCCGGGCCAACATGGCAAAACCTTATTTCTACTAAAAATACAAAAATTAGCCAGGCGTGGTGGCGTGTGCCTGTAATCCCAGCTACTTGAAAGGCTGAGGCAGGAGAATTGCTTGAACCCGGGAGGCAGAGGTTGCAGTGAGCCAAGATTGCACCACTGCATTCCAGCCTGGATGACGCAGTGAGACTGTGTCTCAAAAAAAAATAAAAGTTTGGCACTTCCTCTCTCTTGCTCCTTCTCTCCCCATGTGACATGTCATCTCCCCTTCCCCTCCTACCATGATTGGAAGCTGTCTGAGGTCCTCAGCAGAAGCAGACGCTGGTTCTATGCTTCTGAGAAAGCCTGGAGAACCATTAGCCAAATAAAACTCTTCATTTTGAATTACTCAGCCTAGGTATCTTTTTTATAGCAATGCGAGTAGACTAAAAACACATGTTACTTCAGTGTAACATGGATTGTAAGTGTTTGCAAAATAGTCCAAGTGAACTGTTTCGCAAAAACAATCCATGTTACACTGAAGTTTATATTTTTGGTAAAAATTTTGAGAATAAATTGATGTTGTCCTTAATTTTTTTTGTTTGCTTCCTCACTCCCCAGACAGTGTTCTGCTCTTTTTTCCCTGGCTAGAGTGCAAGGATGCAACCTTGGCTCATTGCAACCTCCGCCTCCCAGATTCAAGTGATTCTGCTGCCTCAGCCTCCCAAGTAGCTGGGATTACAGGCATGTGCCACCATGCCTGGCTAATTTTGTATCTTTAGTAGAGACGAGGTTTCGCCATGTTGGTCAAGTTGGTCTCAAACTCCTGACCTCAGGTGATCCACCTGCCTCAGCCTCCCAAAGTGCTGGGATTACAGTCATAAGCCACCACACCTGGTCTTGTTTGCTTGTTTTAAACATATGATTACCATACTACAATTGTCCCCAAGGTGGACTGCTCCTTCTTGTGAGTACAAATTACCTTAGATTTCTCCAGGACTTTTTGTACTGATCTTCGAAGCTCTGGTCTTCCCCTTTGTTTCCTAAAATGTAGACCCAGAAATATATTACAAATTATTTGAAATTATAGAAAAGTTACTAGATTCTAGGCGCTATGGTGGAGATATGGTTTTTACCCACCAAAAGGAATGCTGTAATTTGGTCACCAACACGGCAACATCATTTGTGTTATGGGTACAGAGTCCTTATTAATAATTAATGTCCTTGCTTGGGAGTGAATGTTTTCTCTTACTCTTGCAAGACTGAATTAGTTACCAGAGGGCAAGCTGTTACAAAGGCAAGTTTAGCTTCCTAGAACTGCTCTTACTTTCTCGCAGTGTGATCCCTTTACACATGACCACTCCCTTCTGCTTCATGTCACGAGGTCCTTACCAGATGCAACCTTGGACTTTCTAGCCACTAGAACCATAAATCAATATAAAATTATTTTTGTAAATTACCCAGGATCAGGTATTCTGCTATAACAATTAAAAACAGACTAAGAAACAAGAGTCACTGCACGCTGGGTCCATGCCTTATTCATTTAGCAAAGTGTTCCCTTTGTACATTCCAAATAATGGAACAACACTGAAAACCATGAAATATTTACTCTCTGATTGACTAAAGAAATATTGTGATTCTTACCTATAGAAGCCAGGTTCCTGAAGGTTTCCTGCATCACATCTCTATAGAGATTCTTCTGGGAAGGATCCAACAAAGCCCACTCCTCCTGGGTGAAGTTCACAGCCACATCCTCAAAGGCAACAGAGTTCTAAAACAGTCCACATTTTGGTAGAGGAGGATGGATGAGACTGAAAGCACTGGAAATATATAGTCAATTCATAAGATGTTCACCTGACTCTGTGGTGAACATTTATTTATTCCACAGCTTAGTCATTAGAACTACGACTCTGTCTACACTTACTTTCTCTACACAGCAGGTTAAAGTTGAACTAATCAGCAAGGAAGCAGCAAAGGAATACCCTTTTTGTTGGGGGATCCAGGGAGTAATATTTGCTGTTATAATTTTTCTTTATAGAATATACCTATAGTACATATTATAACAAAGTCTTAGTATCTGGTATGTATAAGAGAGTTAATATTAGCAGTCACAAGACTACTTATCCTTAGAAATACCTGCTACTAAGTTCAACCTTTGCTGGTATCAAGGGAACTTAACCATCCTGCCAACCTAAGTGATAACTGCGGCTCACTGTTGCTAAATAGTTTATCTAAGCAATCTGGTACTTGCTGAACTCCTGTTTTCCTTCCAAAAGTCTATGATTTTGTTATTGTAGCAGTGGTGGCTAGGGGATCAGCCTCAATAAACAAACAAAAACATACTCTGAGCACGGAACATCTGATGAGCTTCCCTGTAGACAACAGCTCATATATGATGTCACAACTTTTTAATTGGGAAATTGAGCCCAATCCATGTGGTTACACCAAGAGAAAACATGTAGAAGCTTGCAAGCGGGTTCACTCAAGACCAAATCTAATCAAGAGGTAATTAAAACTAATAATATTCAATAATCCCAAAATAATTATTTTACAATTTCTACTGAAAAATGTCAAAGCAGAATAGAGTAAGTGAAAAGAAGGCATGTGTTCAAAGAAAAAAACTTAATGTCATCTAGATATCAGCTCTTACAAAAGATATTCATGTAAACTTTCAGAGATGCCTGAAACAGACTTTCTAGCAGTTCAGCAAAAACTACTTTTCAAAACCTACAAAAATAACAAATGTCTAACAACCATCACAGCCTTCTGAATAACAGTGGGATGGCTTGCCTAACACCCATCAATGATTTTCAAATGTAATATTCAGGGCAGTGTAGTATAAGTAGAGAGATAAAGAAACAGACCAAGAGGAGGACTTTAGTCTTTAATGAGCTGGAATTGATATGGAAAGCTGACTAGTAACAGAGGAGACACTGTAGAATAGTGAAGGAAGTATCAAGGACTTTAAACATGGAATAAAGCTAACTGGTATTTAATTGAAAAAAAAAAGGATTGTACTGACCTCTATTAGGTGGACAATTATCATTCTGTTGTATATTCAAACATGAAAAGCACAACTAGACCACTTGCAGAAGTCACAGACAAGGTTTTTTTTTTTTTTGACAAATAGGAGAAAAGAAGTAAACAATAGAGACTGACAAATTCAAATATATTAAAATTAGGGGAATTAAAACACAAAAAATAGTAAAAAACCTGCAATCCATGCAATATAAAAAAATTAGTATGCAGAGTAAAAATGAACAAAATGTGATTTAAAATGGGAAAATCAGCAAAACATACATAAAAGGGAAAATAGAAATCTCTTTCTACAGAAAGAGATCCATTTCCTTGGTAATGAAATAGCCAAATAATATGGCATGTAGATAATAGTTCACATTCTTTAGAAGAATGAAAATTAGAGAATCTCAAATGGTGATTACCATACCAAACAAACACACAAATTAAGGCAAAGGCAGTGAATATACCCCATTGCTATTTCCAGTAATTTGAACTTTACCACAATCTACAGTCCAGGAATTTTTCTCTTGTGTCCAGAAAATTTATTGTGCATTTTTGGAGACTGGCATATAATGACAGAAGCAGTATTTTCCTCCAAAACAAAACAAAACAAAAAAAACAAAAACAAAAAAAATCTTGAAAAAGCACAACCCACTGAAATGGATGAGTAAAAGTGGATAGCACACAGCCTCAGATACTAACGTGTAAAACACAATGAGGCAAGGAAACCACTGACAAACCTTTTTATTTTAATTTCACTAATATTTATTGAAAGTTCAAAGGCAAAACTAAAAACAAATGAATTGAAAAAATATGAAAAACAGCCAAAGAATCAGTAGGGTAGTCATCTGAGAGGCAAGATGAAAATAAGTCTGGGAGGTGACCAACAGTAAACTCTAAAGACTCTGCAAGGCTCAGTTATAAATCATGATGACAATTTCAGTGATTTTTTTTCAAGACAAGGTCTTGCTCTGTTGCCCATGTTGGAGTGCAGTGGCATGACCAGGGATCAGTCCTGCCTCTACTTCTCAGGCTTAAGCAATCCTCCCACCTTAGCCCCCAAAGTAGCTAGGACTACAGGCACGTGCCACCATTGCTGGCTAATTTTTTTACTTTTGTTGTAGAAATGAGATGTCACTACTTTGCCCAGGATGGTCTTAAACTCCTAGGCTCAATCGATCCTCCCATCTCAGTGTCCCAAAGTGCAGATGTTTCTAATTACTAAAAATTATGAAAAAGTTGTATTCTTTTTTTTTTTTTTTTTTGAGAGGGAGTTTCGCTCTTGTTACCCAGGCTGGAGTGCAACGGCTCGATCTCGGCTCACCGCAACCTCCGCCTCCTGGGTTCAGGCAATTCTCCTGCCTCAGCCTCCTGAGTAGCTGGGATTACAGGCACGCGCCACCATGCCCCGCTGATTTTTTGTATTTTTAGTAGAGACGGGGTTTCACCATGTTGACCAGGATGGTCTCGATCTCTTGACATCGTGATCCACCCGCCTCGGCCTCCCAAAGTGCTGGGATTACAGGCGTGAGCCACCGCGCCCGGCTCATTCTTTTTTATACTATATTTCATAACAAAAAATTGAATTGTTTTAAAAAACTATTACAAACAGTGTCCTGTAATGTGGCAATCTGAGTTTTAATTCACAGATTTGGCACTAAGAAAGAAACAGAGCAAGGCGACATAAAACACTAACTCCTCAGCAAGCAGCAGGTCAAAGTGCATGCTGGACATCTGGCAGGGCAGGCTGGTAAGTCGGAGCAAGGGAAGACAGACTTACAGGGTGATGGGCAATGTCTGTACATGCTGCTTCTGGTACCAACTGTTATGGTCACCTGCAGAGATGTGGCTTTGACTTTTATCGGGAGAGTAGCAGGCCTCTCAAGGTGGTTAAGTGAGGAAGAAAAAAGGCCAGGCACCCGGTGTTTTTATTGAGGTTAGGTGAGAAGCTAGGATCAGAATTCACTTTTATGGGCAGGAGTTTGCATGGTTAAATCTGCTCCTGCCATTAAAGGAGGAAGCACTTAAGTTTTTTTTTTTTCTTAGCCAGATGTGGGTCCACAAGTGGAAGAAAAAGGGTTCAGTATCAAAATTTGTCAGCAGTTAGCCATTAAAAATTGGAGAGACACTTCTGGTTTCCAATCTCACAGATAAAGATATGGAAGGTGACAATTCACATCTGCAAAAGGAACAAGCAAACAAACTAAAAAAAAATCACACTCTTAGATTCATCTGAGAATCGAACTCACAGGGCAAGCCATCCTCTCAAATTTGAGACATTGATGAATCCAAATAATCACAACTTACTAAACCAGAAAATCATAAGAAATCCCTGTGGGAAGCAGTTCATGTGCATGAAAACTAAACTGTAATTGGTGAGTTGCTGAAGAATGAGACAATCTCCAGGGTAGCCAGTCTTAGGCATTCCTAAAAGTTTGTGAGTTTTACCTCCAAAAACTCTACTAGGCTTTTACAGTGAAGATCACAGAAAAATTGTTTTATGCTTCCAGCAGAAGAAAAATATACTTGTTTGCAAATATGCCCATAGAATTATCTTCTTTTTAATAGTTCTGTCATAAGCAGAAACTATTTCTCAAAAGCCTAACCAGCTGAAATTTTTACTGGAGCCAAACCTCCAGGGTAAAGGAAACGCCCAATTCCATTACGCCTCTAACCTCCAGTTAGAGGCTTCAGTAACAGAGGGGTAAAAACAGAGAAGTGCTTGTAAAAGTCATAACCCAGGCACACAAAGGCTTTCTAAAAATGAAACTAATCATAAGTCAATAAAATGCTTCTCCTCCCACCACACCTTACCAGCCCATCGACAAAAGCAGAATACGTCAAGATGACTGACCAGATGCAGCCAAGAGGAACATCTGTCGCCGAGACCGGGACACTGGGAAGACTGGTGTATTCTGAGCAGGTGTTCAGAAGGCAGGCCTTGAGAGTGGATGGAAGGAAACACAGATGCTGGACTGAAGGGGACGGAAGCTGGGAACCCTGCACGGGGCTACTGCACGGAAGCTCATTCATGGCCCTAGTGACTCCTGAGGAGGGAGGAAGGTAAACAGGTGAGGAGTGAGCCACTCTCATCATGGGCTCCTGGATTCCTGGCAGCAGGGGACCCCATAAACACTTGAGCTGGCATCAAGAACTGCTTAGAGAGGTGGTGGGACAGGACTCTAGGCCGCGCAGAACCCAGAGAGTTTGTGTAGAACACTGGCAGCAGAGCATGGCCAGGGCTGGCCATCCCTTAATACTGACCATGCACCTCTAGGGGACTTTAGTCTTAGGGGAACTATTGCACCTGGACAGAAGAGGACAGTCTTGCCCATGACAAAGGACCAGTCTGACTCAGTGGCATCCTGTCTGTGGTGCTCCCCAGGGACCCCCACCTGGCCATGCCTACTTGCAATATAGTCTCAGATGCTCAACTGGGGTGCTTCCTGGGGGCCCTCACTATAGCTTCTTCACTGGCAAACTGCATCTGACCTTGCAGAGCTAAAGCAGAGCAGACCCCACTGACACAGCCCACCCGCAGCCTGTCCCCACCACACCCACCTCCACGCTGTTTTGCCAGCACACACTTGCCCATGGCCACTCCCCCCAGCTTTGCCGGCACACACATGTGGACCACTCCCCTCCCCTGCTGGCGTGTGTACATGCACCCCACCACACCCCTGCTGCCAAATTAAGCATACCCCCTCTTGGCCATGCTGCCAATGCTGCTGCAAATTTATTCATGGGCACTGG